AAAAAAAAAAAAAAAAAAGAAAGGCTCTGGTAATACAATGTGTAGACAACATTTTGAAAACACTTAATGCCACCCAATAGTACACTTCAACAAGGGAAACTGTCATACATTAATACATTTTACCACAACTTTTAAAGAGTCAAAACCAAATAGATGTCAGGAATCTGTAGCAATCAAACTGGGATCATGAGCCCAGCCCCATGGGAAACAGGGTGGGCTCACCGCTGGATGCACCCAGATACTGGTCCCAGCAGGCATATGACCCCACCCCCGAAAGGCAAGGGCCCAGGAGGCTGAGAAGAACAGCGCTTGTGAGGCTCTAGCGCCTCAGATGCAGTGCGGCTGTCACTGGCGCGAAGCACACATGCCTGGCTGACCAGGGCCCCTCTAACGGGCAGCCCTGAGGCATAGCCAGGCCATGCCTTCTGCCCACCAGCACTGCCTCCGCTGCCTGGACCGTGTTTCCCCTCCATGAGCACGCCTAAGACGAACCAGTTCCTAGGACCTCCCTACAGCCCCTTCCTCAGAAGGAAACAGGCACCTCTGTGCCCGTCAGTGGACTCCCACCAGGCAGCAGCTCAGAGCCCACGTGCCCGCCTCCACCAGCAGCTCTCTAGGAGGGAGACCCCACACACTCGAGTGCCTCACCTTCTGTCTGAGTCGTGTCACCAGCAGGTTTAGGAGCTGCACTCTGTCCCCGAGCTTCCTGAGCGCCAGTCCAGAGTCCACTTGACCAGCCTGGACAGACACTCCTGCAGAGAAGAGTGACTTTGGTCAGGCTCAGATCTGAAAACCAGGGAAGGCCTTTCTGGGGAGACACACGTCTCTATCAGCTCTTCCTTTCCCAGTACGAGTGGCTGGGCCCAACATGAAGCTGTTCTTCACTGGAATCAACAGACCTGGGTCCACATGAATATCAGAGATGCTGTACAGAAAGCATAATGCTTATGTAAAGAAAGCAAGAATCCTTGTAGGAAGAAGTCTGACTTTACCAGGTCATGTCTGATAGAGACCAATTGCTGCAGTCTGTCTAAATAAAAAGCCACTTGTTTGGAAATCAAAAAAGAAGATGCCAAATAACACAGGGCCAAAGAAAAAAATCACAATGGACATCAAAAGTTATTTTGAATGGAAGGATGACAACAATAGCACTTTCCAAACTTAAGGAATGCATCTAAAGTTGTCCTTCTGAGAATAATTACAGCTTTAGAGAAATATTTCAGAAAAGAAGAAAGGCCGAAAACCAATGAGCAAAACATTCATCTCAAGAAATCAGAGGGCCAGGTGCAGTAGCCCATGCCTGTAATCCCATCACATTGGGAGGCTGAGGCAGGAGGATCCCTCGATCCCAGGAATTCAAGGTTACAGTGAGCTATGACCGTGCCACTGCACTCCAGCCTGGATGACAGAGTGAGACTCTGTCTCTCTCTCTTTCTCACACACACACACACACACACACACACACACACACAGAAAAATTTAAAACAAATGACCAAATTAAAGCCAAACAGGGGAGGGCATGGTGGCTCAGGCTTGTAATCTCAGCACTTTGGGAGGCTGAGATGGGCAGATTGCCTGAGGTCAGGAGTTCAGGATCAACCTTGCCATTATGGCTAAACCCTGTCTCTGCTAAAAAGATACACAAATCAGCCAGGCGTGGTGGTGTGTACCTGTGGTCCCAGCTACTCGGGAGGCTGAGGCACGAGAATCGTTTGAAATCGGGAGGCAGAGCTTGCAGTGAGCTGAGATTGCGCCACTGCACTCCACACTGGGTAACAGACTCTTTCAAAAAAGAAAAGCCAAATAAAGTAGGAGGAAGAAAGAATAAAGTTAATATCAGATATTGAGGAAACAGAAAATAAATGTATTGTAGAGAATCAACAAAACCAACAGTTGATTCTTTGAGAAGGCTAAAATAAATTAAGCAAGGAAAAAATAGAAGCAAATGACCAATATAATGAATGGCAAAAAGGAATCATCACTTTAGATCCCACAGACATTTAAAAACTCATAGGAGGATATTACAAGCAACTTTATATCAAAAGTTTGAAAATTTAGATGAAATGGACAATTTCTTAGTAAAATATAACATCAAAAATGTACAAAAAAGAAAATCCGGATGTTCTATAACTATGAAGAAAACTGAATTCACAATTTTAAACCTTCCCACAAGAAAAACTCCAGGCCCAGCTGGTTTCAAAGTTGAATTCTACCAATTATTTAAGGAAAATTAATGTAAGTCTGATACAAACTTTTTTAGAAAACAGAAAAATAGAAAATGCTTTCCAACATATTTATGAGGCCAGAGTAACTTCGATTCCAAAACCTCACATCAACATTATGAGAAATGAAAATTACTGGCCAGTCTTGTTCATGAACATAGATAATTCTCAATAAAACACTGGCAGACCAAGCTGAGCATGGTGGCTCACACCTGTAATCCCAGCTACACAGGAGACCAAGGCAAGAAGATGGCTTGAGCTCAGGAGTTCAAGAATATCCTGGTCAAAGAGCGAGACGACGTCTCAGGTATTCTAACAAAAAACAAAAGAAATATCAGCAAACAAAATCTGTCAATATATAAAAAGAAGAATCTATCAGAACATGTTAAATCCACCCCGGAACTGCAAGGTTGGTTTCGCAAAACGAAACCCGCAGTCCACCTCATTTCCCTCACTCATTTCAGCTAAAGGTCCAGCCAGAACACAAAAGGCCTCACTAGGGGAAAATTCTGAATGGTGAGTAAAGAAGGCTGAGCGTCTAGGGGCCTCAGATCCCAGGGGTGGCTGGCAGGGAGTCCTTCATCTCCTTCCTGCACGTGCTGAGCTGGTGCTAGGCAGCCACAACCCAGAGCTCAGACCAAAAAAAAAAAATAATAATAAAATAAAAAGCCTAAGAGAAGCTGCTCTTGGGACCAAAGGGGCAGGAAGAGGGCGACATGCAGGTGGAGCCCTTGAGACCACACCTGCCCTCCTGCCAGCCCCCGGCCCCACAGCCTGCTGTAGACAAGTCCAGTGCGGCTTCCAGGAGAGCATGTGCTGAGTGTCACAGGAGGAAGGAGGCCCGCATGAAGGCCCCGGGGACTTGCTGTATAAAAACAGCCAGAATCAACAGAACCAGCATAGCAAAACCTCTGACAAGTGGGCCCAGTGCAGGGACACTGCCCAGGATTTGACTGGCCACTTGGTGACTCACGTGTGGGCAGAGCAAAATAGCATCATCAAGGTTCTGGACAGTAACAGGCATTCAAACCTCAGCCCACCAGAGTGGGCCAGGATACAGTGTGAACACAGAAAGGTTGACTACCTGATAAAACAAAAGACAGAGTTAAAATAGGTTTAATAAGAACCAGAATTTCATAATGTGACACTCAAAATGTTCATGATACATTAAAAAATTACTAGAGGCTGCCTGTAATTCCAGCACTTTGGGAGGCAAGGCAGGAGGATTGCTAGAGCCAAGGAGTGTGAGAATAGCCTTGGCAATACAGTGACAGCCCATCTCTAATTAAAAAAAATTTTTTTAAAAAAAGCTACTCATCATACTGATGACCAAAAAAATCTCAATGTGAATAAAATAGACAACACTAAGATAACACAGATAATGGAATTATGGGATGAAGATTTTAAAGTAGCCATCATAAAAATACTCCAGCAAGTTACTGGGGACAGCGAAGGTGGAAGGACTGCTTGAAGCCAAGAGTTTAAGATCAGCCTGGGCAACATAGTGAGACCCCGTCTCTACAAAAAAATAAGAAAAATTAGCCAGGTATGGATGGTACCTATACTCCCAGCTCTTCAGGAGGATCACTTGAGCCCAGGAGGTCCAGGCTGCCATGAGCCATGATCAGGCCACTGTGCTACAGCCTGGGTGACAGAACAAGACCCTGTCTCTAAAAAAACAAACAAATACACAAACAAAAAATTCTAGCAAGCAATTTGACATACTCTAAATCTACTCTAAAATCATATGGCAAAATGAAAGTTTCAGTAAAGTAACATATAAGAAAACTAAGGCCAGTGTGATGGTGCATGCCTGTAATCCCAACATTTTGGGAGGCTGAGGCAGGAGGATCACTTGAGGCCAGAAGTTTAAGACCAGCCTGGGCAACATAGTGATATTTCATCTCTACAAATATAAAAAGAAATTAGCTGGGCATGGTGGTGCACACCTGTAGTTTAGAGATCCAGCTACTTGGCAAGCTAAGGTGGGAGGATCCCTTGAGCCCAGGGGTCAAGGCTGCAGTGCGCTATGGCCATACCACCGTACTCCAGCCTGCACAACGGAGCAAGGGCCTGTCTCAAAAACAACAACAACAACAAGAAAATGAAAATGGAAATTTTAGAAACAGAAACAAAAATCTCACTTTATGGGCTCAACAGCAAAATGGAAATGACAATAGAAAGAACCGATAAACTTGAAGAACAGAGGAAAAGAAATTAGCTAATTGAACAAGAGCCAAAACAAATTGAAAAAATAAATAAATAAAACAATAAAACACAGCCTCAGGGACCAGCAAGACAATAACAAAAGACCAAACGTTTGTGTCTTCAGAGTCCCAGAAAGAAAGAGTGTGAAGCTAAAAAAAAAATAGTTGAATAATGGATGAAAATTTCTGAAATTTGGTGAAAGACATAAAGCCTCAGATTAACGTTGAGAAGGATAAACCAAAGAAATCTATGCCCAGATACAGCATAATGAAATTTCTAAAAACTAAAGACAAAGACTGTTTTTTTTGAGATGGAGTTTTGCTCTTGTTGCCCAGGTTGGAGTGCAGTGGCATGACCTCAGCTCACTGCAACCTCTGCCTCCTGGGTTCAAGCAATTCTCCTGCCTCAGCCTCCCGAGTAGCTGGGATGCACACCACCACGCCTGGTTAATTTTTGTATTTCTAGTAGAGATGGGCTTTCACCGTGTTGGCCAGGCTGGTCTCGAACTCCTGACCTCAAGTGATCCACCTGCCTCAGCTTCCCAAAGTGCTGAGATTACCGGCATGTGCCACCACGCCCTGCTAATTTTTGTATTTTTAGTAGAGACAGGGTTTCGCCATGTTGGCCAGGCTGGTCTTAAACTCCTGATCTCAGGTGATCCACCTGCCTTGGTCTTCCAAAGTGCTGGGATTACAGGCGTGAGCCATGGCGCCGGTCTGTCAACATAATTTTAAAAATCAAGCGTGAAAGAGTAGTCTATCATATTCACCCTTCCCATTTTCCTGCACTCCTGACGTTCCTAGTTTCCTTTCTTCTGTTGTGTCTAAAGTACTTCCTTTATCAGCCGGGCACGGTGGCTCACGCCTGTAATTCCAGCACTTTGGGAGGCCAAGGCAGGCAGATGACCTGAGGTTGGGAGTGCAAGACCAGCCTGACTAACATGGAGAAACCCTGTCTCTACGAAAAATACAAAAAAAAAAATTAGGCGGGTGTTGTGGTGCATATCTGTAATCCCAGCTATACGGGAGGCTGAGGCAGGATAAATGCTTGAACCTGGGCGATGGAGGTTGCGATGAGCCGAGATTGTGCCATTGCACTCCAGCCTGGGCAACAAGAACAAAACTCCGTCTAAAAAAAAAAAAAAAGGTACCTCTTTTATCACTTCTTTTACATCCAGTCTGTTGGTCGGAAACATTTTCTTTATCTGAGAATGTCTTTATTCATTCTCATTCCTGAAGCATGTTTTTACTGAATGTACAATGATGGTTTGACAGTTTTTTGCTTTCAGTACTTGAAAAAGATTATGCCACTTCCTTGTGATGAAAAATTTGATGCTAGTTGCTGCTGAGCGCCCACCACTGCTCAAGTCATGCCCCTGCAGGCTGCGCACCGCTCTCTCTGAGTGCTTTCAAGAGCTTTTGTCTTTAGGCCAGGTGTGGTGGCGCACACCTATAATCCCAGCACTTTGGGAGGCTGAGGCAAGTGATCACTTGAGGCCGGGAGTTGGATCAGCCTGGTCAACATGGTGAAACCCCGTCTCTACTAAAAATACAAATGCCACCAGCTGGACATGGTGGCACATGCCTGTAATCCCAGCCACTTTGGAGGCTGAGGCATGAGAATTGCTTGAACCCGGGAGGCAGGTTGTAGTGAGCTGAGACTGCACCACTGCACTCCAGCTTGGGCGACAGAGTGAGATTCTGTCTCAAAAAAAAAAAAAAAAAAAAAGAATTTCATTTCAAATATAAAGAGAGAGATAGGTAAAAAGAAAAAGCGATGAAAAAGTTATACCACACAAATGCTAATCAAAAGAAAGATCCACTGGATTAATTAATATCAGACAAGGTAGACCACAGAACAAAGAACGACCCTAGAACAAAGAGGAAGATTACATAACAATATAAGGGTCAATTATCCTAAAAAAAAAAAAAAAGACCTGGCAGGGCACAGTGGCTATGCCTGTAATCCCAGCACTTTGGGAGGCTGAGGCAGGCGGATCACCTGAGGTCAGGAGTTCAAGACCAGCCTTGCCAACATGGTCAAACCCCGTCTCTACTAAAAATACAAAAATTAGCTGGGCATGGTGGCAAGCGCCTGTAATCCCAGCTACTTGGGAAATTGAGGCAGGAGAATTGCCTGAGCCTGGGAAGTGGAGGTTGCAGTGAGCTGAGATTACGCTATTGCACTCCAGCCTCGGTGACAGAGCGAGACTCTGTCTCAAAAAACAAACAAAAAACAAAAAACACCCTAAATGTATACACATCTAACAACAAAGATACAAAATATATGAAACGAACACTGAAAGAATTGTGATTTTAAAAATAAAAATCTGTATTAAAACAGGAATAGAAAGAAACTTCCTTAACCTCCCTTCACCTCCCCACTGCAAAAAACCTTCAGCAAAAATGAATCCTAAAAAAGTGAAATGCTGAATGTTCTTCCTCTGGGATTAGGGAGAAAGCCAGATATTATCAACATCATACTGGAGAGTTTAACTTGGGGCGATAACACAAGAAGAAGTAAACAATATCAGCATTGGAAAAAAAAAATAAAATCTCCCTTATTTTATTATTATTATTGTTTGAGATGGAGTTTCTCACTGTTGCCTGTGCTGGAGTACAACGGCACGATCTCAGCTCACTGCAACCTCTGCCTCCCGGGTTCAAGGGATTCTTCTGCCTCAGCCTCCTGAGTAGCTGAGATTACAGGCATGCATCACCATGCCTAGCTAATTTTTTTTGTATTTAGTAGAGACGGGGTTTCACCATGTTGGTTAGGTTGGTCTCGAACTCCTGACCTCAAGTGACCACCTGCCTCAAGCTCCCAAAGTGCTAGGATTACAGGTGTGAGCCATCAAGCCCAGCCTTTTTTTTTTTTTTTCTTTTTTTTCTTTTTTTTTTAAGACAGAGTCTCACCCTGTCACCCAGGCTGGAGTACAGTGGCACAATCTTGGCTCACTGCAACCTCCCCCTCCCAGGTTCAAGCAATTCTCCTGCCTCAGGCTCCTGACTAGCTGGGATTACAGGCACTTGCCACCATCTCCAGCTAATTTTTGTATTTTTAGTAGAGATGGGGTTTGACCATGTTGGCCAGGCTGGTCTTGAACTCCTGACCTCAGGCGATCTATCCACCTCGGCCTCCCAAAGTGCTGGGATTACAGGCACGCACTCCAGCACCTGGCCAAAACCTCCCTTATTTGAGACAATCTGACAATGCCGGTGGAATGTCCTGTCAGGCCCCTCCCTTTCTTTTCCTGCCTTAGGGCTGCAGGTGGGGCCTGCCTCCCCTATGCTAAGTGGGGTTGTGGCTCCAGCAGGGTGAGGGGCATCTCTGTGGAAGGCAGCCAGGGTGGGCTGTCAAGCTCGCTGGTGTGGGGGCATCTGGGCAGGAGAGGGGCCTCCAAATAGAGGAAGGGGCTGCAGCAGCAATGGGGGATTGGTTACACCAAGAGGACTCTAAGTAACTCTGTTAGTGATCACCGGCGAAAAGGAAGTTAGAATAATGAAAAAGGAAATTAAAATAACGAAAAAGAAAGCTAGAATGTTAGAATGAACCTTTTGATGTTGGACTAACCACAATGGAATAGAGTAGCCTCGGCGTTTGTCTTGAAATTAAGAACTTCCATTCACCAAAGACACCAGTGAAGAATAAAAGGCAAACCATGGGTTGGGAGAAGATAATTGCAACACATATAACTGACAATAGGCTCATATTCAGAATGAAATACCCTAAAAATCTATGACAAAAGGCAGATAATCCAATGAAAAATGAGCAAAAGACTTGACCTGGAGCTTCAAAAGAGAGGCTATCAAAGGCCAATTCTATGGACTGAACTGTGTCCCCTCCAAATTTATAGGTTGAAGATCTAACCCCGAGCATGACTATATTTGGAGACAGGGCCTTTAAGGAGGCAGTTAAGGCCACATGAGGTCCCAAGGGTGGGGCCCTGGACTGGAGTCTTTATAAGAAGAGGAAGAGACACCAGGAGTGAGCACGCAGGGGAGGGGCCACATGAGGACACAGGGAGAGGCCACACTAGGACACAGGGAGAGAGCACCGTCTGCAAGCTATGGAAAGGCCTCAGGAGGAACCCACCCTACCGGCAGCCTGATCTCAAACATGCAGACTCCAGAAGTGAGACAATAAATCCTGGTTTTTTTAGCCACCCAGGATATGATGTTGAGTTATGGCAGCCCTAGCCAATCATACGCCCATGCACACAGAAATGTTCAATCCCAAGAATTTGCAAATTAAACCAAAACAGGATGTGCTACATGTCCCCTAGAGGGAACAGAAGAGCTGCTGACCAGGCAGGAACTGGCATGGATGCGGCACCAGGGGCTTCCTCGCACGCCGCTGACAGAGTGTGAATCGTATGATGCTTTGGAGAAGAGCCTGGCATTAGCAAAGGAAACACAACGCAGGTCTGAAGCAGCCAGGCAGAAGCACAGGTGCCACAGAATTCCAGTCACAGACAGAAGCACAGGTGCCACAGAATTCCATTCACAGACAGAAGCACAGGTGCCACAGAATTCCATTCACAGACAGAAGCACAGGTGCCACAGAATTCCATTCACAGACAGAAGCACAGGTGCCACAGAATTCCATTCATACTGACACAGGGAGTGCCAGCTGCAGGGAGCGCCAGCTGCAGGGAGTAGCTGGCACACATGGGCTCTGCAGGGAGCACTGGGGGCTGCTGGGCCTGAGGATGCTGACCTCCACAATAGCCTCGAGCTGTACGACTGAGTGCGTGGGCTTTCTGCAGGTTTCGGTTTGTAAAGGGACAGCAAGTAGCCCGGTGAGATGCGGACTCTTACCAGGGGTCTCTGTCGAGGTGCAGATGCTGGGCTGAGACTTAGCACGAGGTGAAGACATGGTTAAAGGATCCAACACATCTTCCAGCTGCTCTTCCAGGGTTTTAAACTTATGCTTTAGATTTCGTATTTCTGCTTCAAGGGCCAGAACATAATCTGCCAAAAAAAAAAAGCCCCGTGAATATAACACATACACAGCATCCTTTCCCACCTCCTGGCCGTGAGCACCAGCTCAGGGAGTCAATTCCAGCTCATGCCCACTGGCTTCACTGTCCCTGTCCTCCCCATGCAGCAGCTTCACAGCAGTTTCCACACTGTGTGTGTGTGCCAGACTGAAAGGCCTCCCCTCCCCTCACTCGCCAGGGTGTGGCAGCCAGAGACCAGCACAGCCTCTGTGCTCTCCAGGAAGGGCTCAGCAATCAGGAGCAAACGCTCCACCTGCTGCCAGCCCACGTGCCTCTGTGCGGGGGAGCCGAGTCCCATCTTGAGAACAGACACTCTGCATCCATCCCGGCATCCACCCACCCACGGCCACTCATGGAGTCCCTGGGCGTTGGGTGGCCCTCAGCAGCTCTGCCACGGATGCTGCGCTGGAGGAAGGGCCCAAGGTCCACCGGTGCCTGCTACCAACTGCTCAGGGATGGCGTGGCACCAAGCCAGCCCTGGTCCAAGTCTAAGACTTAGGTTTTTGAGTGTGTCAAGCAGGTACCCTCATTTTTCCTTCCACTTGACAAACTGAAAAGCTTTTTGGTATAAAACTTAAGATTCTTTCTGTTGGAGTAAAAAGCAGTTTTCATACGTTGAATTTATTTTTATTTTTAAATTAATTAATTAATTTATTTATTTTGAGACAGAGTCTAGCTCTGCCACCAGGCTGGAGTGCAGTGGCTCAATCTCGGCTCACTGCAACTTCTGCCTCCCAGGTTCAAGTGATTCTCCTGCCTCAGCCTCCAGAGTAGCTGGGACTACAGGCAGACACTACCACGCCCAGCTAATTTTTGTATTTTTAGTAGAGACATGGTGTCACCATGTTGGCCAGGCTGGTCTCCATCTCCTGACCTCGTGGTCACCTTGGCCTCCCAAAGTACTGGGATTACAGGCATGAGCCACTGCACCGGGCCCATACTTTGAATTTGTTACAGCGGATGTTAACTTATAGGACTCTGAAATGAAACCTCCTTGGAGTCAGCCGAGACCTATGCTCCCATCTGTCCTCCTCCCTTCCTCTCCCCCTTCCCCTTTCTGTCCCTGTCTCCCCTTCTCCACTTCTCCCCCTTACTCACCAGGAGTGGCGGCATCTGCCCCCGCCTTTGGGTCAGGCTGGTTTGCATCTCCCCCCGCCTTTGGGTCAGGCTGGTTTGCCTCTGTGCTCTCCCCCGCTCTCTGGGCGGGAAGAGGAATCTGATGGCTGAGAGTCTCCATTTCTTTCCTCATCTGTGCAATCACGTTTCGCAAGCTCATGTTCTGCTCTCGCAAGCGCTGGATCTCACTGGATGGAAAGTCTTTACTTATTTCTTCTTCATGCTGCCTGAGGAGCACCTGTCAAATACAAGGAAAGATGGCCACAAAAGATGAATGGTTCCCCAGCTGCTCCTGACGGACTGTGCCTCCGCCCTCCCCGCGCCCCTCTCAGGCCAGTCCCCTGCTTCAGCTTGGGCTGTGGCCCCTGCTGCCCTCCCCATCCCAGGCTGTGATGTCCCTTCTTTCTGACCTGACAGAAGGACTAATATGACACTCAAATTCCTGAAGCCTTCCATACTGCTGAGACCCCTGGAGTGTCAAATCCACAGAGGCAGAAAAGTGGAATGGGGTGCTGGGGCTGGGGGCAGGGAGGGGGAGCCAGTGTTTCCTGGGGACAGAGCCTCAGTTTGGGAAGATGAGAACGTCTGGAGACAGGTGTTGTGATTGCTGTAGAACGGTGTGAATGTGCTTTATGCTGCTGAACTGTGGCCAAAAACTAGTTAAAGTGGCCAGTTTTACATTAAGTTTACTTTAGTACAATAAAACATCCACTGAACAGGATGATGAGCAGGTCAGAGAGTGCAGAAGAAAAGGCAGTGAATATAAACACTGGCAGCAGCCGGGCGCGGTGGCTCAAGCCTGTAATCCCAGCACTTTGGGAGGCCGAGGCGGGTGGATCACGAGGTCAAGAGATCGAGACCATCCTGGTCAACATGGTGAAACCCCGTCTCTACTAAAAAATACAAAAAATCAGCTGGGCATGGTGGCGCGTGCCTGTAATCCCAGCTACTCAGGAGGCTGGGGCAGGAGAATTGCCTGAACCCGGGAGGCGGAGGTTGCGGTGAGCCGAGATCGTGCCATTGCACTCCAGCCTGGGTAACAAGAGCGAAACTCCGTCTCAAAAACAAAAACAAAAACAAAAACAAACAAAAAAAACACTGGCAGCAGAAAATACCCAAACAAAAGTTCACAAGGAGAGGGGCCAAAGAAAGAAAAATGAGCAGAGCTCTGGAGACCAGGGACAAGGTGAAGCAGCATCCTGCACAAAGAACCAGGGGCTGAGATGAACGAGAGGGCAAGAGGCGCGTCTACAACAAGGCCACAGGTGCCACACTGTGATGAAAACCAAGCAACACAGCACGACGGTCAATGAACCCTACGCAAGATGAACAGAAAATCATACCGAAGAGCACTGCATACTCAAATTGCTGAAAAATCAGCGACAAAATGGAAACTCTGAAAGCAACCAGAGAAAACAGATGCGTTACACTAGGGTCAAAGGGCAGGCACAGGAAAGACAGAACCCGCAAGGAGCCACCAAGATGGGAGGACCAGGAGGCAGGGCAGCGCCTCCAGCACAGGAGAGACAGGCCCCACCCACTCAGCTCCCACATCGGCAGTGAGGGAAAGGTGGGTGAGGGGCACTTCTGCCTCTGACCAGGAGGGACTCACTGCTATGAGTCTTTCCCTCTGGCTGTGAACAACTACAAAACCAGACACATTAGACAAAACACCTGCTTCCAGACGCCAGCAGAGACCCTGGATACCTGAAAAGGGAAACAAAGCACCAGGCTCTGTCCCAGCTCAAACACGAGTCCAGCCAAGATGCATGCAAAAGGCACAGCTTCCCCTCCTGTGGAGGCCGCTTTGAGGGAGCCAGAGCCTGCCCCCCACCCCACATGCCATGGCTGCAAACCTGAAGCAAGACCTGGACCCCTTCCTGGGACTCTCTGACTCCCTGGCCCACTGGATCCTCCATGCTCACCAGCAAGGCCAGCTGGCCTGGGCTTCCAGGAAGAGCTTCACACGCCATGCTGAGTGGTGGAGATTATGTGAACAGAAGGTGAGCCTCAACTGGAAGTTCAGAAATGGAGACAAAAAACCGCCCACCACAGTGCCGTAGTAACACTTGCCAACATCATCAAGGACCACTGGTAAGAAAATCACTAGATGCATTATGGTGTGGCCACTTGATAAAATATGCAACCATTTAGATTCTGTTTGTGAAGAATTTTGATGTGGGAAAATATTTACAGTAGAAACAAAATGAAAGAAAGAATTCTCAGGCCAGGCACAGTGGCTCATGCCTGTAACCCCAGCACTTTGGCAGGCCGAGACAGGTGGATCATGAGGTCAGAAGTTCGAGATCAGCCTGGTCAACACGATGAAACCCCGTCCCTACTAAAGATACAAAAAATTGGCTGGGTGTGGTGGTGGATGCCTGTAATCCCAGCTACTCCAGAGGTTGAGGCAGGAGAATCGCCTGAACCCAGGGTGGGGGGTGGGTGGAGGCTGCAGTGAGCTGAGTTTGTCCACTGTACTCCAGCCTGGGCAACAGAGCGAGACTCCATCTCAAAAAAAAAATGATTATCCTGGAGAAACAGTCCCAGGCGGGACAGACCCTTGAACACCGTGCTCCACTCAGCCAGTTACAGACTTGGATACCGAGTGCCCACATGCTCACCAGGCCCTGTCCTAGGAAGCGCTGAGGGCACTGCCTGCACAGTCTCACTGGCTGAACCTGTCCACCACAGTGACAAGCACAGGTTCCTGGGGCTCGGCAGTGTGAAAGGAAAATATCACTAAGCTGCTTAGGGCAAACCTGCCTCCCATTCTATTCCAAGTCACCCCTCTGCTCACTGAGATCAATGCATATCTGATTGCTTCCTTTGGAAAGGCTAATCAGAAGTGCAGAAGGCGGCAACTGTTTGTCTCTTACCTACCTGTGACCTGGAAGCCCCTCCCCATTGGAGTCTTCCTGCCTTTGATTCGAGTTGTCCTGTCTTTCCAGACTGGACCAATGTTCACTTAACCTATGTTGATGTCTCCCGTCTCCCTAAAATGTACAAAACCAAACTCTGTCCCGACCACCTTGGGCACAGCTCTGGACCTCCTGAGCTGTGTTATGGGCGTGCACCCTCGACCTGGCAAAATAAACTTTCTAAATGAACTGAGACCTGTCTCAGATTTTCTGGGTTCACATTTTGGCAGCCACGAAGGGATTCTGAGTGGAGATGCCCCTGACCTTTGACAAAACTGCTATCGGTGCTTTGTACTGGAATGAGCTAACTTTATTGCTCAAACCAACAGGACAATTTGCTGAGGTCTGGCAGTGCCCCCTGCAGAGAATCCCTGATCTCCCAAAATTTGATTGAGAACTAAAGTTTATGTTGCTATAGACTGCCCTTTTTTTTTTTTTTTTTTTTTTTTTTTTTTTTTTTTTTTTTTTTTTTTTTTTTTTTTTTCCAACAGGGAAGGCAAGTTTTTCCTGCTTCTGTGACAGTGGAAGACAGTAACTCCTCTATGGAGTCTGTACTCTCTCGCAGCAGGGATGAGGTTTCTATCCTGCCTCTGGGATGGCAGAGAGCCTGAGACCCACCCCTAGGCAAGCAACTGAATTGGCATTTGTCTTGGCCAAAGTTAAGAGTAACAACCAGCTGGTCTCAGTTTCTCCTCACCCCTAGTGCGCTCAGTGGCCGTGTATGTTGCGCCGTCATTTGTTTTGCTTAACTGTTTTCGTTGTTACTGTTTGTTGCTGTTGTTGTTTTGGTCATTTTCCCATTGGGTTTGATCAACTCTGACTTCATCAAATCCAAAGGACAGTTCCAAATTATGGGGAACAAGGCCTCTGAAGTGGCTAAATTCACACCCACACACACACACAGACACACGCAGGCACACCTACACACACATGCATGGTATGGTGGGAGAGAAACATGGCCATCAAAAGGAAAAAAAAGAGGAGGGCTGGGCACGGTGGCTCACGCCTGTACTCCCAGCACTTTGGGAGGCTGAGGCGGGAGATCATGAGGTCAAGAGATTGAGACCATCTTGGCCAACATGGTGAAATCCCACCTCTACTAAAAATACAAAAATTAGCCGTGCGTGGTGGCAGGCACCTATGTAATCCTAGCTACTCGGGAGGCAGAGGCAGGAAAATTGCTTGAACCCGGGAGGCAGAGGTTGTGGTGAGCCAAGATTGCGCCACTGCACTCCAGCCTGGCGACAGCGCGAGACTCCGTCTGGGGTAGGGGGGAGGAGGGCGAGAAGAAAGAAAAAAATTAAAAATTAAAAAAAAAAACAAGAGGAAAGGTTTTCTATTTTGACTACTAAGGGTCTTAACTTACAAAACAAGGCCACCTATTTGCTACCCAGGCCAAACTGAAAGAGCAATGGCTGAAATAGCAGCAATGTGTCCTAGCTAAATATGGTAATGAGGCTTAAAAGATATTTTAAAGGAGCTCAATGGTCAAAAGTCAGCTTAATTAAAAGCTACATCCAAGATGTGTGTGTATATGTGTGCATACATGTCTGTTTGTATTTGAAAGGCCTCCATGTTTTTGTTTTTCTCCTAGGACCTTATCTTTTTTTTTGAGCAAAAGCTTTTTTCTTCTCAGTTGACTGAATTCTGTTCTTTTCATTTACTTCTGCTGTCTCTCCTTTCTGTCGCACCCTCTGTTGCATAAAGGGCCTAAAATAGTTTATAATAGCCTGAGGTTCCTTAAAGAAAATCAAGAAGGTGCCAGACTCCCCTTGGGGGAGAAACCTGTTTTTCCTTATTGAACCCCAAAAATGTAAACAGACAAGTTCATCTCAGCTCTTAAACAGCTTACTTTTGTATTTGTGTTCCTTTTTTTTAAGACAGTGTCTTGCTCTGTTGCCAGGCTGGAGTGTAGTAGTGAGATCTCAGCTGACTGCAACCTCCACCTCCCAGGTTCAAGCAATTGATTCTCCTGCCTCAGCCTCCCATGTAACTGGGACTAAAGGTGCATGCTGCCACGCCCAGCTAATTTTTCTATTTTTAGTAGAGACAGGGTTTCACCATGTTGGCCAGGGTGGTCTTGATCTCTTGACCTCATGATCCACTCACCTCGGCCTCCCAAAGTGTTGGGATTACAGGTGTGAGCCACCGCACCCAGCCCTTTTTTTTTTT